GAAAGAGGAGGAAAGTCGGTGAAATTTTAAAATCTCTCTTTTTCATTTCCTTTGCGACGAGCCTGGGTTGATTTCGTTTCGCCCCGCGGCGAAAAATCTGCCGTTTTTCGCGGAAGTCTTCGGGAACCCGCCTCAAGCGCGGGAAAGAGGAAGCTCCGTTAATAAATTACCGGTAATTTCATTGTTTCGGCGACAGCTTTTGTTGTACGGCAGCGCACGGAAGAGGAGAGAAGACACCAGCCCAATGACTCATCAATCAATACTTTATTCTGTCACTTAGCACCAACCCGAAGCATTGCTCTCGGGTCCGTTGCCGGATGAAAAAATAAAAAGCACCGCCAGTGATTTCAGCCTCGATCTTGGAGACCCTCGTTATGGATAAGGAAAGAACAATAATCACGGCGGACATAACCTCTCTTGGCTCCTGAGTCAAAGGACAAACTTATATTTGGTTACTAATTAATAGGCCTTCACGAGTCCAGCTGTCTATACTCTTTTCACAACGGTATTCTAGAATTCTACCGGGCTAAGCAAGAACGCCGTAAATCCATCAAGATTTTCCATCGTTTCTTGGAACTTAACACTTTATAAAATAAAAACTGTTTCACCCATTCACCTCAAATTTTCAGGTTAAGCTCTTGATAGTATTTCGACGGTGCAAGTCGGCAATCACATAACTCATTTGCGGTGTCTGAAAATCTCCGCAACTATGTTATTTTTTAAAGGAGAACAAATGGACATTATTCCTTGAAGTTTTTGCAGAATGTTCCTCGCACGTAGAAGAAAAATCACGGAAGTTTTAAATAATTACCGTTGAGTAGTTTTCCGTTTATAAAATAAAGTATGACAGGAAGTCTGCGACGTCACAAACCGAGTTATGTGATGGCCGACTTTTACCGTCGATTTGCGAAAGAATTCTGTAAAAACATTGTCCCAAAGCACACCAGCTTTCCTGCTATAATGCATTGTTTCCAAAAAATGTAAAATGGCGTTTACGGCGATTTTGCGTCACGGCAGAATTACTGGACGGCGTTAATAGGGATCAAAGTTTCCCGGGAAAGTTAAGTGCCGAGAACGGAAAAAGCTCTCGTGGGAACGTTCTCGGTGACCCCTCTGAGCATGAGTGATTACCGTGCACGATGTAGCCCAAAAATAACATTTTTTAACGGAATAATTGCGATATTTTGAAATTAAATTGGGATTTTTTTACGACTTTTTGGCGATAAAATCGCCAGAATCATCAACATCCGAGCGATCCATCTTGTCGAAATTCTATCATAATTTATCACGATTTTTTTCTCACGACATTGCGATGAATTCCCGTCGATAAAATTGCGATTTCACCGCAAATTTATGCGATTCAATTGCAATTTATCGCAATTTTTTATTCGATAATATTGCAATTCATCGACGTCGATAAAACTGCGATATATTCTTTCGATCAATTGTAACTTATCGCGATCACTGCTGCTCAGGACGTCGTGCATGGGTCCGTACTGCAAAATGGATATCCTTAAGTAAGTAAGTCGTATCTACAAAGAAAGTTTTGAAAAAAGACATATGTGGGATAGTTTACATCTGGGGCCGAATTTTGTCGGCTTTTTCACACGGAGTGCAACATTCATCGATGAGTTCAAACCGCACCACCGGCCAATTAGAAGCGCTAAATTAAGCCGGACTTAAGTGCAGTCGAGACCCGTCCTAAGTATATTTAAGTACGGTGGAAGGACCGACAAACTTCGGCCCCTGATGTCTTTACGTTAAATAGGTATGCAAACGAAATATTTGAAGGGGCCAACGGGAGGGCGGGTGACGGAAATGGAGAGTACTCACAAAAACCACCTAAGGCCTATTCAACTTCACTCCCATTGCAGTGTTTTCAATCCTCCTGTACATATGATCCTTTTACTACCTGCAATGTTCCCGCGCGATCACAGTTCAGAAATACTGTGACATCTGCACAGATGTAGAGGGAAAATCGTGCTATCTGCTCAAGGTTACTAATAACGTTGGTCAAGATTTATCTTCCATTGCATTGTGCAAAAGTTCTAGTGTAGAATTTCTCCAGACCCAACTTCTATGCGACTATTTTACTGAAATACAGATGCCATACAGATCAGTCCCTCTTAAAAAGGTCCAATTCAGACATGACTGTTTGCTTAACACCTGCCAACTGGCATCTTACCTATATGATTGGATCCAATTTAATGGATTGCAAATCCCTGAATCTTGCAAGCACCTTACTGCGGTCTCTTCCTTAAAACTTGTGCATGGGCTCGAAAGTTCTCTCCATAAAAAATCATTAGCACCATCGACGATGGTCCATCACATCTTTCGCACGCTAAAAAATGTTTATTGGAATTGTTGATGAGATCGCGAACTCTTCGCTCTGGCAAGGACTCCATTGTCTTGAAATTCTCAGAATTTCTCCAATGGCTTGACAAGAACGGGGGCATCTTGCCCCGGAGCTCCCCACCGTGCTGAGCGGAAACCGCGCATGTTCTCATAGGGTTTCATTCCGAGATACGCGGTTTGCGCCCGGGAGGGCAGCGAGGCCGCCCACCCGCGTCTTCCCGGCCGGAGCTCGCCGGCGAGAAACTTAAAACCAATATTCCATTTTCTTCATTATCGATGATTTTTGTGCCACGCCGACCCGAGCGACGGCATCCCGTCGGTATTCCTTGATTGAAATATTTCCGCCGTAAATTATTTCACTTGCGCCCGGCCAGGCGCACGGGTATCTCACACGCTTGGCCACGTGACCTCCGATCCTCGACGCCTTGCCGCGTTTCGACCTTATCCTCCGCTATTTTTGTACCCCCCCCCCCCCCTCCTGCACTGGAAAGAAAAGCACACTGGATCTAGAATCTGTGAGAGCAAGTTAAAGTTGAACCAAAATGTGAGAAATATTCTAAAAAAAGTTGTTTCATGTTTCTCTTTTTAAAAAAATACCCTGTCGTTTTCATACATTTTCCGAGCCGTCTCCACTCAAGTAAAAGTAAATTACGTTAAATTTACGTCAAAATATACAAAAACTTTTTCTAAAAGTTTGGCACTTTCTTAATGCATAGAGGTTCGCATGAACTCTCAACGACCAAACTTAAAATTATGATGCTATTTCNCACGGTCTCGTCAAGGTGCGTCTTTGACCTCGCAGTGTTGGATCGTGAATTCTCTTTTTATGCTGTTTGCCTATTTTGAAATCTCTGTAAATGAAAACTAAAGGGGTTGATATGTGCGAGTTAATGACGCGCCTTATCAACACATTGTGTTGGAGTTCACTGCTTGTTTTTTTTTTTTATATTTGAGTCCTGTGAGAAAAAGGGAAGTTAAGAAACCACAAATAGCCACAAATAGCTAGGAATGTCAGAAAACATAGAAAAAGAAAGAGGGATTTCAGACCGAGACATTTCCCTCGATTTATAATTCCAAGTGTTATGTTAAACAAAACGATGAAACAAGGTTTTTCCATTACTTACTAAACGCATGCTGAGATTTGATGCGGAGCTTTCATTACTGAAGTGCGAGTGGATGTGGGTATGCGAGGGTGTTTGCGGCGCACAGTGGATCGAGTCAATCAGAGAGGTCGATCACGAAATTTTCGACTAAAACTGCACATTTTTATGTTTATTTTGCCAAATTTCAAATTTTGAGGGGCGATTCTTCGAGAGAATTTTACGAGCAAACTAATGAGACCATTTGCAACTCTTCAAAATTTTGTAAAAACGGAGTTATGAGCTTTTTAAGTTTCCAAATTTTGTCCGACCTCTCCCATTGACTCGATCCTTTGTGCGGCGGGGTGAGTTGCTTTGAGAGGCGGTATCTCAGCCGCTTTTCGTGAAAGGTGGCTCCATTCATCTTTTCCTATTTTCCCGCCAGTGTCGGGTCAAAGTTGTCGCACTGCACCTGCAGCAAACGTTTTTCACGTTAGAGAACTATGCATTTTCCCCGAGGTCCGGCAACGTTGTGGCCTGCACTCGGCAAGATCTATCAATAACCTTCGATCTGTTTACTTTCTATAATTCTGTTTTTTTCAAGACTCGACCACCTCCATCTCGCTCATGCATTGGCAGCGAATATTAGTTTCACTCCGATCTTTCTTTTATTTTTTTATTTCTTACCATTTTCTTTCTGTGGCTCAGGTTTATAGGTGACCTGAAAAACAGGGAATTTATTGTCAGAGATTAGTTTTAAAATCTGAAAATAAGAAAATCTCCGAAAATTTTTGTAACTTTAAATGTGACTTCTTACGGGGAACAATAAAATCAACTTATTGCAACATATTCTTTGGAATACTGGAAAACGTATTCAATCGAACACTCAAAAATCCCAATTTGACAAACGCCGTCTCCCTGAATTTGTCATGGTGGACGTTCTAAATGATAGAGAGCCAAGATAGACAAACGGCATCTGCTCAATGGGCTGCGATTCGTGACCTCATGCGATACAGCCATTTTAGATAGGAGGTTTCCTATTTCTAGAAAAGAATCAGAATAATTATGCGTATCGTCAGGTCAAAATTTGCTGCGTTAGGCTAAATTGTGTAGTGTTAGACCAAATTTAGTTCAATTATTTTTTCATAGTTAGACGTATACTAATAATACAAATATGAGTAGTTAACAAGTTTAAAAAAAAAATTATTTTATGGCACCGTGCATGGCATACCTAAAAAATACTGGCACTCAGGAATAATTCTGTCAGTAGGCAGTTAGGCACCACGAACCGCCGGAAAAGGAAAAGTGATGAAAAAATAAAGGAAGAAAAAAGCAATACGCTGTCAGATCCCGCGTTTAGAAATTTTAGATGTACGGGTACCCTCGACAGGAAAATACAAATCGTCGAGTTTTCTAACGAACGTTAATCGATTTTTCCTTATTGCTGCTCTTGAAAGTTTCATTTGTACGTAAAGTGATATTAGCCGCCCCCCCCCCCNCCGGTCTCCTTCTCTCTCTCTTTCTCTCTCTCTTTCACCCTCTCTAACCCTCTGTTGCTTGTTTCAGGGATGCTTCATTCTAAATAGAAGGATTTACGAGACTCGGAACTTTTGCTGGATGTCAATTCATCGTGGGCTTCTCCTGTCTTTCGTCGCGCCTGCCTTCATTTTCCTCACGGTAAGTCGATATATCGATTGATCTGCCATTTAAACCTATGGAAAAGGATCGATAAACAGGGTGCTTGGAACGAACACTTTAATAATCTATATTTTACCATGACTTCAAATGGGGAAATATCGATAATCGATAATTCACGCCACGCCACTGAATATAATCCAAAAGCTTTGCTCTTTAAGTTTTAACGTAGAATTATCTCAGAACCTGTGCTTTAAGAAGTAAATTTTTTCCAATCAATGATATTTTCAGGCAATTCATTTAAAATTATAAAGATTTTTGGCGGTTTTGATGCATAACTGTAGTGAGCAAACTCATCCCTATCCATTTAAAATCCGAAAACTAACACCGAAAGCCCCTCCTGTAGAGACCTATTCATTGATTTTACCTGATAATAAGCGCCTGCATTTCGTGAGGTATGCAACGCATGTACCCATACCGGTGTAAAATGAATTAAGGGTATTGGTATCGTGCATCAAGTCGCTATCGTCATACGCAGCAATGCAGCGTTTATCAAGGCGTTATTCAATGGCTTACGTTTAGAGGAATGGACCACTAGACAAGGTACGAATTTTAGCATTCTGATACTTCTTCTGAACCAGAATTTCACGTAAAACGACACGATTCGCGCAACGAAAATTACTGAAACCAACTCCTAACGGAGATATTAACATTTTTTTTTCACATTGGTCACGAGGAATTTGAACTGCCCGCTCACAAGAAACTCAAAGCTCTACGTGAGTCAAATCGCGCACTACAACGGTTTCAGCAATCTTCTCAATCGAGCAATGTTCATTTCCCACCATGTGTTCAAGCTATGAGTAATTTGCTATAGCTGAACCAAAGCGTTAAGATTAAGTTGCCAGATTTTTCTATTGCAGAGACCGTCATAATAACGTTTAGCGCGCGATGTGAATCACGTAGAGCATTGAGTTTTAATGAGCGGGTGGTTTGAATTCACGCATCAGGAATCATTAAATATCCTTGTTAGGAGTTAATTTCGGTAATTTTTGCTGTGCATATCGTATTTTACGTGAAATTTTGATTTAGAAACATGTATTAGAGTGCTGAAATTCGTACCTTGTATAGTGGTCCATTTGGATATTTATTAAAATTTAAAAGTTGAATACACGTATTTTCTTTCTAAGAATTTTTGTCGTACCATCTGCACAATGTACGATGAGAACTTTGTATAATTCAGTAATTTATGTGGTACGTATTTCTCTCTCAGGCGAATACAACGCTCGGAGCCATCGGATACACCCGCTCCAAGTTCCAGTGCCAACAGTCACCGAGTGTGGACCGGAAAGCTCTTCGAGTAGCCGTTGTCCTTCTTCCAGCTTTCATTTTCGACTGGTTTGTCGAAATCGTCGCCTTGGAGAAATCATCGGCTCTCGTCTTTCCGCTACTTTTCGTCGCTAGCAAAGCCTTCATTGTAAGTGTGTTAGTAGTGCGATGACATTAAAATTTCATAAACCTCTTAAAATTGAATTTGTCCGGCCCCCTATTTCCGCCCATGCAGGCGACATATCCTTTAACAGATTAGATGATTTGTTCATGATCTCTCTAATACCTAATTCTTCAGTTATGAAACGAGGATATTCTCTCTCTCAGTTCACGCGGTAGTTTTCTAATAAGGTGATTCGTTAAGCTTAAGTGATGTGGTCAAACTGGCATGCGATATATTGCATGCCAGTTTGATCACGTCACTTAAGCTTGACGATCCACCTTAAACATTAAATTCACAAAATTTCAGCCATCTGCAAATACGAGGACTCCACTATGCAAAAAGGGTCTGTCTGCTTTTCACTGCGCAAATCTAAAATTACGAAGCAGCACTTTAAATTAGGCTGCATTTTGCAATTAGGAACTCCAATTCCTGGTTCGTCCATTAAAACGCACATGTCGGTCGGGAGACAAATGGCACATGCGTTGTTTTTAAACTTAACCAGTAATTTTAGTTCCTAAATGCAAAATGTAGCCTTAAGGTGAATCGACGGACGCCATTTTTTGTGTCAGAGCGACATGCGGTGTACCGCATCGATTGGCTCCAATTTTTCAACCTTTTGTCATTTTTCTCGAATTTTGAGATCGCAAATCTGTTGTAAGGATATACTAAAGAATTCACTTACCAATTTTGACAGTTAAGCTCAACGTAATAAAGGTGTGGTTTTTTTTAGAGGAAACATATCGCATCCGAGTGCAGTTTCGATATCAGTATTGAATGCTAGATTTTTCCTCTAAAAAAAACTGTGCCTTTATTACGATAAATTTGTTTGTCAAAATCGGTAAACGAATTCTTTAGTCTCCTGACAACAGAATTGCGATCTCAAAATTAGCGAAAAATGACGAGTAGCTGAAAAAATGGAGCCAATCAATGCGATTTATCGCATGTCGTTCTGACACAAAATTTGGCGTCCGTCGAATCACCTTAAGTAGGTACACGGAGAAAAAAACTTCGTGCGGGGGATCCGAAGTTGAGGTCATATGGATCTCTGAAGTTTTCGGATCACGCACCTAAAAACTTGAGGTCGAGCTGCCGAAGTTCGGGTCAGACATGTGAAGTACTTCGATATATACCGAAGGGTTCGGGTCACACATCTGAAGTACTCCGGTACATACCGAAGTGCCTCGATGTCTGACCCGAACTTAGGCAGCTCGACCTCAATTTTTCGGATGCGTGATCAAAAAACCTCAGAGATCCATATGACCTCAACTTCGGGTCCCATGCACGAATTTTTTTTCTCCGTGTAGGTTTTAGTAGAATACCTGTATAGGGAGAGTACCGACAAATCTGAAACTCCGAAAGTCCATCAGGCCTTCACCGATGCCTCCGCGAATAAAGTCAGGGCCCAAAAGGGCAGCCAACCTATGAATTTCAATTATCCAGAGCGATTTACTGATACTATTGTTACGAACCGTCCTTTGCTAAGCACGTGTTTGACTCAGTTTTTGCATAAATTTACTCAATTTCGCGGAAGAACGCTCATTTCTGTACATTCTTGGCCATCTTGGTTAGAATTGGAATCTGCAGACTGGCAGTGAAATTTTGTGCGTTAGAAGTTGGTTAGAAGGGTGGCTGCACTTTTGGGCCCTAAGCCCTCCATGAACCGATCTGTCGGTACTCTCCCTATACAGGTACTCTAGGTTTTAGTTGGCTTCGGCTTTTAATTTCACGAGCTAATTCCGAGCATTGTCTTGGCCGGCAGAACTGGTTCATATTCGCGTGTTGGCTGCCGTCGGACCAGTCGTGGATGGACCTGGACGACGAGTACGACGAGGACTTCGACGACCTCGAGGACGAGATGGCACCGGCATTGGTGAAGCTCAAGTACATGGCCGACGCGGAGGCCCAGGCCCACGCACACGAGCACAAAGGCATGGACGAATACAGGCTCCCGTACTACCACTACCCCGGCTACCCGGGCGACGACCTCCCCCACCTCCCGCTCCTCCACGACGAGACCTACAAGTGCGGCCGCAGGGACGTCTGCGACCTCCAGATGGACCCCATCTCCACCATCTGCTCATGAACGGAGCCCAGCGAGGCTCAGCGCCAAACAAGTGCCAAAATAAATACTTCCCCTTGTTACAACAAGATGGAGAGGCAGCGTTATAGTTTCCGTGTAGATACCGTTGCACTCAGCTTGAGGTTTGGGAACGATTCCTCGAAACGGTAGCAGAAGCAATGTGTTGATGAGGTCGACCAGCGGGCTGATTGTTGTAATTGGTAGACAAAGCTATAGATGAAGAGGACAAAAGGGATAAGGAGGCAGTGGCGAGTCGTGCTATGCGATATATCGATTGATCTGTCATTTAAACCTATGAAAAAGGATCGATAAACAAGGTGTTCGCAACGAACACCTCAATATTCGATTCTTTACCATGGCTTCAAATGGGGAAATATCGATAATCGATTATTCACGCCTCGCTACTGCAAGGAGGAATCCTATTGGTAGAAGCGGGTGGTTTCAATGGACATAGGTTGTATAGGTAATAGACAAACGGCATCCCAAAAGAGACCGTATAGTTAATGCATCAGTCTTCACTGCTTCAGTCTATAAGAACCACCCATTTCAACCAATAGGATTGCTCCGTACTCCCTAGGTCTCCTTTGTCTATCAATTTCAACAATCAGTCCGCAGAGCCTTTGTAGGATGTCTTTACTCTGTAGTCCTTTTCCCACGACAGAGACAGAAGTTTAAAATGACTCAAGTAACGAAATTTGTGAGGTGTTGACCAGCTGTAGGATCGGGGCGAATTGGGGCTCATTGATGCCTCATTTTGAGTTCCTCTTTTTGATCGGCAACAGTAAGCGAGACTTATAGCTTTTTTGGTAGAAAATTTTGCGATGACGCTATGCGCAAAGATGGATGATCGTAAATAATTCTGCACTAAATTTAACTGCTTCGAGTTATTAGTATGGCGTTCAAGAATCGTTATTTATTAATCAAAAGTTTCAGCTGAGCGTATGGTGGGAAGAGGCGCCTTCAAATTTGTGGCTAGGCAAAAATCATCTCTCTCGGCTATTTCGCGAACAGCCGACGGACTAGTAGACAAGGTACAAATTTAAGCATTCTGATAGATTTTTCTTCATGAAAACATGCAAAACACACCCTTGCGACGAAAATTACTGAAACTAACTCCCCAGATATTTAATTTTTGTTGACGGGTGAATTTAAACCTCCCGCTCATGAAAATCGAAATTCTAAAGGAATCAAAACGCGCAGGAAACGTTTCTGTAGCAGTCCCTGCGGTATAAAAATGTGGCAACCTCACTTTTGGTGCTTTGCTGTTTCACGTTGTTAACTCTTTGAAAACTCAAGATGGGGAAGGAACTTTGCCCTATTAAGAAGCCCGCCAAAATCGTTGTAGTTCGCGATTTGATACAAGAGGAAAAATGTTTCTCTTGTGAGCGGAGAATTAAAATTTTCCAAAAACAATGCAAACTAAAAATGTCAATGTCTTAGTTTGGTGTTGATCGCAGTAATTTTCGTTGCTCAAATCGTGTTTTATATGGAATTTTGATTAAAAAACAAATATTGGAATGCTTAAATTCTTACCTTGTCCATTCTGGCCCATTCTAACAAACCACAGATAAAATGAGTTTGATACGATTAAGTAAGCCTTGAGAAGATTTCTTTTCTGGTTTTATTATTTTCCTGCTGATTTTCTTACATTTTAATTGAAAATGTATGCAATGCATTTCTGATCACATTTACAGAACTTCCGAGTAAAGTATCCGAATAGCCAAGTAAATATTGTGAAGAAATTTCAAAAGGGAATAGGAAGATTCACATTTACTTTTTTCCATGAAAAGTTAAGCATTTACGACGGTCTGTTAAAGCTTACTTATTCGAAGCAATTTCATCAAGCATCAAAATTCCTAATTTGAAGCTCCACAGGTATGTAGAAATTTTTCAGCTCAATCTTTGATTTCAAATTCGTGTATGTTCTTAAAATGTCTCTTCTTATACATTTTTCGGTTTCGGAAAATCTCATACTTTGCAGCCTACGCTTGGATTCTCATCAAAATCCTAATTTTTTCAATACCTATATTTCAACTCTGAAAAAATCGAACTGTAAGAAATTAAAAAATAAAAATAACCTGAATTATATTGTTGGTTATTGCTCTCACCACGAGATCGGATATTGCTCGAGCGAACACTAATTTTAAATTGACCGCTACAAGCTAGGGAACCCTATTGTTTTTATTCGTCCATTGAGAGCGAAAGGAATGAGGTGAACCACAATAAATTTCAGCCTTCCGCCACTGTAAAACTGTGAGTAGCAGCCGCCTGGTAATCTTAATTGTCAAATTAAAGTAGTTCAAGTAGAAGATTAAGCTTGAAGAGCTGAACACATGGTGAACCCGTGGAGGAGGTGGCATGAGGATGAGACAGTAAATGATCAATTGGGGTGCAATCTGTTTCTTTGTGAGACGTATCTATGAAGGGCTATTTTGCCCTTGTATAGGTAGGATATAATTCAAGCTGTGTTACTCCAAACTTGCAAGTAAAGTAACTCAACATATGTCTACATTCAACTGAATCAAAACTTACAAAGCATCTATTTTTTAAATTAATGTGTTCTCCTTCTTTCATCAGGATTTTTTGGTCTAGCTAAAGAGAGTTATTGCCGTGAGTTCTACTGGAGGGATTTCTTCCGTTCATTGAAATCAGTAGAACAAAACGTTGCCTTGCACCATCTGTGGATCTTCCTTTTAAATCTCGATTTTGACCTGCTTGCCACTTACTTACTTGAGTGCCGATTTAAGTAGAACAGTTTTGAATGAAGGGTCTAACTTGAAATACTAACATCTAACAGACTGTTCAAATTTTAAGGAGACCACGTTGAACACTGACCCAAATGGGAATGTACTTTTGAATTTTTTTTTTACAACTTTTAATTAAGTCCAATCTTGACAAGTTGATTCGATTTTAATGCGTACATTTAAGTTCCTCCCATTGAAATGTCTTTGTTGAAGAGTCAACATTTTGCAGTTTTTTTTATCCTCCTCCTCCTCCTTTCTTCTTTCCTCTTCTCTCTTCCTCCTTGTTATTCCTTCCCTTTTTGTATCATAAAGTTCCAAAGGCTATGCCAAATGGTACATTTTTATGTTGAACCCTATAAAATCTACTAATTTATGACCTACTGTCACAGAGAAGGTACTAGGTCGAGCTCTGTGCTTGTTCTTTGTATAGCTCGCTGCATGCTTGATTTGCAACATTTTTTATTCTCAGATTTTTAGGACAGCTGCGAAAAGCAGCCAAGCTGTTTGTTTTCCACCAAAGTAACTTTAAAATACTGTTAACCTAATTATACTGTAAGATTGTTTATAATGTGGCTATTATTGTACAGACGATAATAAATACTCGTGTGAATATTACGTTCGTTTCTTTTTTTCACCATCCGGCTAGCATATGGTAAGCAGGCCTCCAAAACGGTCGCTATACGCGATGTTGAAAATCTGTTCAAAACATCTGACAAATAAATTCAAAGCTCTCACTGAAGTACCGAAGACTGACGAGTGACGTCTCTTAATTCGATCGGAATAGTTGCTCAGAAGGCGCTCTGAGAAACTATTCCACCACAGAAGTATTGCACAGTATCATACGGAAATGAAGGCGCACTAATGTTTAGTGTCGCTCCACCTTGTAGAGTCCTACTAATCGTGCGATATGCGGCTCCTCTTCAATCGATTTTCTTAAAACCTGGTATTAGGTGGGATTTGTTGACGGGCCTCTTATATCTCAACTAAAATGTTCAAAATTCGAAGATACCAGATGTTGGATGTGGCCTAAAATGCTATCTTGGCGCCTTCGAAAATATCCAACTGTGCAATCGAGGTATCTATTCTTTATTGTCCTTTCAGGATCAAAATCGAGGTGCTCTCAACCAATTTAGGACTCGTTATTGGCGCGCGTTTCAACTTTTTTTGTGTTGAAACTCCTTGTGTTTTTATCAATTTATCTTTGTATTTCTATAATACTTCCTTTTTCAATTTCTCATTTGATCACTCGGAGGAATATAATTAACGTTCATATTCTGCACATCATAGACGCAAAAGCGAGCTGATAGTAACACTGATTGCAGTTAGTATGTTACGGCGGCTCATGAACTCTGCGGCCCGTTTAATTCACGGGCTTTTTAATTTTGGATCCGTTCTTGTTGGTTCGCAGGTTCCTACAAATACTTATTTTTCCCTTTTTAAGGAAAGTACACGAATAAACTTAAATGAAGCATCAAAATAATATTTTTCGTCTCATCTTGGAAAAATCACGGCAGATTCTAACTTTCCGTCCGAGTTGGAAGGGAACCTCATTAATATAATTTAGCGGGAGCATTGCGAGCTCGCGCCACCAAACAATCAAATCATACAAAATAAAAAGTTAGGCAATCGTTTGTTTAATTTGTGTAGTTCCTTCTCACTCCTCTGCCCTTGCAAACTTGGTCGGCGGAGACTGAAAAAAACTGCCCGGATCGCGGGAAACTTGAACGCGTGTTGGCGCCTACAAACCTAACAGGGATACTTCACGCATTGCGCAATGCGCGAAGTATCCCTGTTAGGTTTGTAAGCGCCAACTGCGCTTGTCGCGCGGCGTGCCACGGCGCTTCAAGCAACTATTTCGCAGCAGAGGTGTTGCACAGTGTAATACGAAATTGAAGGCGCTCCAACGTATCAAGAATGACAGGCATCATTTACGAGTACGGAGCTTTCCTCGCAAAATAAATCAAGATACTACGGCAAAAATAGAGAGCGGTAGTCCAAAAAACTAACCAAGTCGTAGCATCCGTATTTAATAACATTTAGCATAATTTTTGAATTTCATTAAAGAAAAAGTGATTTGATTTAGGCGACATTCTTCATTTGACATTCTTGAGCGTGCCGTCAAGAAGATTTTATTCAGAATCAAGAATAAAATCGCTGAATGAAAGTGGGTCTCTGCTTGATGTGACT